GGATGGAACTGGAGAGTATTATGCTAAGTATAATAAGCCCGGCAGTGAAAGACAAATACCATATGATCTCACTTGTAAGTGGAACCTAATCAACAAAACAAACAAGCAAGAAAAGTATAACCAGCAACATTGAAAGAAAAAACAAACTGACAGTAACCAGAGGGGAAGAGAGAGGAGGACAACGGGGAAAAGATGGGTAAGGGTCAAGTCAAGGACCATGTATAAAGGACGTGTATAATGGACAAAGCCAAAGTGGGGAAGGATTGAGGGTGGAAGGTGGGGGTGGGTGGGGCAGGGGAAAGTGGTGGCAGGAAAATGGGGACAACTGTACTTAAACAATAAAAATTTTTTTAAAAACAAAAAATGAAATAAAAATTAAAATAAGCAAATGACTGGAACTAGCCAGCAAGAGAAGAAAAAGTATATATACATTTTCAAAATATAACGATGCTAGTAATCAAGGAACTAACAAATTTAAAATATGATAGTATTTATCAAATGTTAAATTGTGAGACTAAAAGTGTTTATTTCCAATGTTATCAAAGATACAGTGAAACAGATACTCTTACACAATGTGCTGTGATAATGTTTTAAAACCATTCGATAATCTGTGTCAAGAACTTGCACATTAGGTGTCCCCTCAGGAGCATAAAATATTTGCCATTCAAAAAAATACAAAAAAAATACAGTGGTTTATAGACATATGTACACACAAATGTTTGTTTTATTTTCTTTTTTGTTTGCGTTTGGTTTTTATTCAAGATACATTTAGTATCTTTGTCACAAGAACTCTTCTTATACGTGAAAACTCAAAAATAACTCATACTGAGTGGCAAGTGGTAATTGCTCTGAAAAGAAAAAGAACGGTTCAGCATTTATTAACAAGTTTCTTCCCAAATTTTCTTAAATTAAAAAAAAACACAAGAAAAGTTGCTTGCACTTAAGTTGCCAGTTTGTTTTTAATTTTATTAACATGTATTTTCATTGCATTAATGAAAAGGAATAGATAATGTACATACATAGAACCAACGCTTGGGGGTGGCTGTTTGCCTTCTGAGGTGCTTCCATATGGTGAGTTCTCTTATTACCTGGCTTAATCACAGCTCTCTCAACTAATAACTTCATTTAATTTGCAATCTCTCTGCAAACTGATATCTGATTCACACAATTATGTCAGTTCGAGCAAATCTGGAACAGTATTTTAAGCGGCCATCTTGCCTAAATGCCCTCAGGCCCTCAGCTTCTGAGAGCAGAGATGAAGCATTGCTTCTCTGTGCACCTAGCAGGGGCCTGCCCAGAGCAGGTGCTCAACCAGTGTTTGCTGAGCCGAAGTGTCCTCGATTAGCTAACGGAAAAAAGAAAGGCATTTCTTTACTGAGATGACTGCCCAAAGTAGAAGTGAATTCAGCCTTGCATGGAATATATACACTTAAACTCCCACATGCAGACCAGTGCACCTCCCTGGGAACGGTTTCTGACCGGTCACTTGGGAGCAGGTCATTGTCCTCACCCACAGGCTCAATCCCATCTCTACTTTTAAACATCTTGAAGCAAGTTCTCTCTCCTCTCATCATGTAACAAACAGGCCCACGTGTAGTTGCTTTGGGTCAAAGGGAGATATTGAAAATATTGATACTTTAAATTTTTTAATGAAATATTAATCAAAGGTGGTTTGTGATTATTTGCTTTTTATGACTGTTCTTTAACTACGGATGGCAATTTCTTAGGAAGACCACAAGAGTGTTCTTTCACAAGCAAAATTTTCCTTTTTTAACAAACAAAATTCTTAGAACTATTGTGAATTTTTAAAAATTACTGCTTGTTTTGCATTTCCCTAAGTGTTTTTTTTCCTCCTAAATTTTATTTCCGAAGACGAATTGATCTTTTAATTGTTATTTGCATTTCTTGATAGCCGTCTTTTTATTTTTTAAGTACGTTCATTAAAACTGGGGACAGTGAAACCAGGAAGGGCTTAGGATAGCAATGGGAGGGAGCCCAGGCGGGGCTGCTTTGGCTCACTGGGAAGTCAGAGAAAAGGGGGCCTTGGGGACTGGTTCAGGGGGTCAGCCCGAGAGGAGCTGCTGCCGCCCACTGCTCCCCTGGTTGTGAGTCTCTTGGGGACCCTCAAGTTCAGGAGATGCACCTCTGAGATGGAAGAAAGGTATAGGCATGTTCTCAGGAGGAAGAGAGTCAATAGCCGTCTTAATAAAAGTCTTAAGAAGATGGCTAATCTATATCAGTTAGGACGAGGATAGTTAATTTTCAAATTATAACATTTATGATTTATGGCAATTATAAATATTAGGAGAGTTTTCATGGCTGAGTCCTAGCTTCTTAGTGACACAAAATTGGTAAGACTAATGTGATATATACATGTGTGACTTATTACACATCCTAATAACAATCATGTTATAAAAACAATGTAAACAGCTCCTTCTTGCAACAGATCATCGTTAGAAGAATCACTGCATTCCAGGATCTGAAGAGTGTCCTTATCCTTCAAGAAAATGTTAAGTCCTGGTCCCATCCAAAAATCCCACAAACAAACCCTCAAAATCAACTCCTCATTAAACACCCCCCCCAAAAAAAAGGTTTATGAAAATACTGAAATAACATTTTCACAAAAAAGCAAAGCCTGAGTTTAGAGAATAAGTATCAAGTACATGCAAAAAGCTTTCATTTCACCCCTATACGAATGACTCTAGAGAAAGATACATGAGAAAACCACCAACTACATAACACAGTCTTTGTGGCACCTATCCAGGGGCAGGGAAGGAGGAAATAAATAGTTCATAGGATAAATCTTCTGTCCCAGGGTCCAACCAGGGACATCCCACAGTGTCACAAGCCAACAAACGTCCGGATATCTTTTCAGGTAACTTCCTGAGAGTTGAGCTGTTCTGAGTTTTCATGTTGCTGTTCCAAATGCCAATACTATTGCCTTTGGTGCCCTCAGCCTGAAGTCAGCCATCCTGCAATATGAATCAGAGCCTGTTGTATGGTTGCATTTCATTTAACAAAACAAAACAAAACAGTGTTTCTAGAAAGTGGTTTATTTGATGGATCATCTCAAATAATTAGTACTTTCAAGATTTGGAGGATATGCCCTGGCTGGTGTGGCAGTGGACTGAGTGCCAGCCTGAGAACCAAAAGGTCACCAATTTGATTCCCATTCAGAGCACATGCCTAGGTTATGGGCCAGGTCCCCAGTTGGGGGCATGTGAGAGGCAATGGATGGATGTTTCTCTCTCACAATGATGTTTCTTTCCCTCTCTTTCTCTCTCCCTTCCCCCCTCTCTAAAAATAAATAAATAAAATCTATTAAAGATTTAGATGGTATTGAAAGATCATATGCACTGAATACATGAAATCTTAAAGATTCCCATACAAAGTCCAATAAGGATGCTTACTGCACTTCTCCCTAAAGGGTGATCCACAAAGCCTTGGTCCCTGAAATACCCATTGTTGAGGTTTCCCTCTTAGAAATTCACAATATAAATTAGTATAAGGACATTAAGAAAGGTTATAAAAGAAAACAATATATATCTATACTAGTATATATAGGTGTATATACAAGGAAAGTTTATACTAGTATATATAGGTGTATATATGAGGAAAAATTCCAGCTATGGTTAATATAACAAGAACAGTTTGTGTGTCATTGATGTAACCTGGCAGCCAAGGAGAGTGGACTGGAATGTGCATGAGTGAACAATGACGACTTCACTATATTAGTCAGTGGGTGCAGTAGATGCTATTGAGTGAGCATGTGTACTGTGTGGCCATCACATTCGAAATGACTGAGCAAGTAGAGCAAAGAATCTGCCTCAAATTTTGTGTTATGCTGGAGCATTCCTCCACAGAAACTATTCAGATGGTTCAGAAGGCCACAACTATGGACAACTAACTGGTGATTGGGCAGCTTCATCACAACAACGTGCTCACTCATGCATCACGTCTCATGCAGTTTTTTTTATGAAACATCTAATTACCCAGGTGACTGATCCCCCTACAGTCCAGATTTGGTGCCCTGTGACTTCTGGCTTTTCCCAAAATTGAAATCACCTTTGAAAGGGAAAAAATTTCAGACTGTCTATGAGATTTAGGAAAGTACAACAGGGCAGCTGATGGCTCTGGGAGAACTGTGTGAGGTCCCAAGGTGCCTATTTTGAAGAGGACTGAGGCATCATTGTCCTATGTACAATGTTTCTCCTTCAATAAATGTCTCTATTTTTCGTATTACATGGCTGGATACCTTCTGGACAGACCTTGTATAGATAAACATATTTAACTTTGTTTAGTCCAGCATTTCCCAGCCCTTCTATATTTGTCATTATTTTAAGTTAGCAAAAGATAATATGAAAAAAGAAGAATTATAAAGAAAATACACATCTTCTTACTGACAAGAGAGTGACCTTGACCTTTTCTTGCCATCCATGGGTTCACTGATCACTGGTGAAATGATATCCACCATGACAGAAGATGTCTCTGCCCTTATATTTTAAAATGAATGTAAATGCTGGAATTCCAAGGAAGGAAATACACAGATTGTAAACACAACCACCTTGTTTATTATTTTTAAGTATAGGACTCGTAAACATGATTTAAACCTAAATAATAAATGTGCAGATCCTTTCTCCTAAAGCCATTCACCGGTCTTGCCTGGCAGGAAAACTCTTAAATTTGAAAACTCCTTTGTCTACATTTTTAACTCTTGGAATAATTTTGTCACATTTTTTCCTTCTTGCCTTTTCCCTAACAAAGGGTAAATGTCTTCTCCTTTGCTGATTGATGGATGAGGGTAAAACTGTATACCATATGCATTTTACATAAGAACATATTGTCTTCTTTAATTAGCACAAATGAAATTGAATACTAATAGTCAGTGAACCACCTCTTTGACTTATGAGATCAGAAAATTGAAAGGTTAATGGAACACCTGAATATAAAGTTCCAATTTTTAGAGAATAAAATAAAATTTTAAACAACAGATCTTTGTTTTTATTTCTGTATAGAGATTTAAGATCAGGAACTCTTACCCATGGAAACGATTATCCTACACTAATAGCCTGTGAATTTCTCCTAACTTGGGGGCGAGGTTTAAGTAACTTGAACAGTGCTGGTCAACAGAAGTGAGCTCATGGCTAGTTTCACTATTTGTTCAACATGCACAGGTACTCATCCAAATTCAAAGATGGTGCATGAGGTATGCACCATCTGACAGCTCTCGTTGGACATCCTGTTACTCTGCCCATAGAAGCTCTTTTTCCGAGATTTCAGTGACAGCCACGTTGCTCATAGAAATCACCTCCGCAGGCTGAGCTGGTATTTGGGGTGACTAGCGCAATTTCAGGCATTGGACAAAAAAATCTAACACAGTGATTCCTCACTATTTTTGGTTTGCTAACCCCCTTAAGACAGTCTCCTCCCAAAATGAGTATATATGTCCATAAATAATTTTACAGAAAAGGGGATGTACTTTCATGAGCTCCCTGAAGCCCTTCTTTAGGCCCCAAGTTAAGATCCCTCGCCCTAGGATATCTTCCTTTGTCACCAAATCATGAAATTTTCTTATTCATCTTTATATTCCCAGCTTGAACTATGTTAGACCATTAAAAAATGTGGCGGATAGCACTAAGATATTTGCCTAGATGATCAGTAGGAGGAACATTAAAAATAAAGTTGGTATTGTAAATCTATAGGTACAGGAAATAGATTAGTCGGTTGCCTAGAGCTAGGGTAGGTGGGGGAAATGAAAAGTGACTTCCGGTGGGCACAGGGCGTGTTTTTTTTGGAATGATATAATGTTTTAAAGTGAGGTCATAGTCATGGTTGTGCAACAATGTGAATATACTAAAAACCATTGAATGATACATTTTAAAGGGGTAAATTTGCTAGTATATAAATTATATATGGATGAAGTTGTGTTTTAAAAGTTGGTGTTATAAGAAAGGGGAAAAGTGGCCCAGGAGGAACTTGCAATAAACCTCATATGACCGAAGATAATGTGTGGCCTCCTTATTAATTGTTTTCAATGACAAAAGAACTAGAGGAATTTCAGTTAAAGGTCATTGGAGTTTTTCTCATCATGGGAAACTATGGAGACTGAGCATTTAGGTCTCCTGAAGAGTGTGGAATGCAGAGGACCACCCACAAGAATAAAGGGCACTGGCCTGATCCAATAGGATCTCTGCCTAACCCAATATTTGTTTATGAGACTGATTCAGCAGGGAGACAATGGCTGCCCTCCATGACATTGCTTTGAAGGTCGGGAATATGACACCAATCTCCCCAAATCTTTTTCCTTAATACACTATGAACTGTTGACTAATAAATGCATCTAAGTCCATCTTGAATCAATTTATATTTTCCGCTTATTCTAACAAATTCCATATGCTTCCCAATTTGCTTTGGACGATTTGAGTGGAATTTTTGTGTGGAGGCAGAGCCTGGCGTATAGAACCTTGAGGTCCCCATGTCTCTGATTCTCACCACTCCCTTCTCCACAAGGCTGTCAAAGCCTCTTTTTTTAATAGGGAGGAAAGTTTCCAACTCCCCTTTATCTACCAGTCTTGTGCTTCCACTGCCTCCTGATTCTAACTTGGAAAACAAAGTAGATCGGTATAGCACACTGATATAATGAAGGCGCACGATGGTCATGGGTCCTTGGGACATCATTTCAGTACACCAACGTGGCCACCTTCACTAAGTTTTAGAACTTATCCAGTTTAATTTTATGATGGATAAAACTGAGGTCCAAAGAGAAAAAACCATTTTGCCCAGGGTCATGTCGCTAGCCAGTGGCAAAACTAAAAAAGTGGTATGTCTTGATTCCCGACCATTCTGCTTTCAAAGCTGCTTTTAAAATGCCTCCTGGACGCACTGTAACACTCATCTCAGTCCCTGTCAGCTTCTCTTCTGGTTTTATTCGCGGTTTGACCCAGCACTGACCTCACCATCCTGTCTGGTCTCACCCATGTCTGCTTCATCCTGGTCAGATTCAAACTCAGTGCCCCGGTCCACAACATCCACGCCAGCTTGGACCCTGGGCTTTTCATTTTCCCACTTGGCGAAGCCTTTGTCCTTTGCTGCTTTGTCATGGAACTTGGATTTCATTTTGGGGAAGGTGTGGGACCCTGAGTTCCCCCAGCCAGCCTCTGACCATACAGGCTCGGTCTGGGTGGCCTGGCTGGTGGTGGCCCGCTGCAGCCTCACGGAGATCTTGCGAGAGGAGCCTGTTACCAGTGTGATGGCTCTGCTGTCCAGGTCTCGGTGTCCAGCAGCAACGCTAGGGAACTCGAACACCTCATCCTGCACTGGAAGGGGAAAGATTATTGGGATGATTTGGCATCTGACTGCATCATAGCAAACCATCAGCCCTGACTGGTGTGTTTCAATTGGTTGGGCATTGTCCTGCAAAGCAAAAGGCCGCTGGTTCGATTCCCAGTCAGGGCACATGCCTGGGTTGCAGGGTCAGTCCCCAGTCCAGGCACCTACAAGAAGCAACCAATCGATGTTTCTCTTTCACATCAATGTGCTCCCACTCTCCTGCTCTCTCCCTTTCCCTCTCTCTAAAAATAAATAAATAAAATCCCTAAAAACGACCATCAAAGTTGGTGCAAACGGTAGGAGTCCCACAGGTAAGGTCCCAGAGAAAGAGGCCAAAGGCAGAATGAAATTGGCTGCAGGTGAGTTGTATGTTAGTGAGACCTGAAAGCAGAGAGAAGTGAAGGGAACTCAAGGGTGTATTCCAGCTCTTCACCCCGAGGTAGGCCTTCATGTTTATAATGACCCCGAGAAGGTTTAGATCCAGGACCCGGCAAATACCGCGTTAGGAAAGAAAGTAGAGGACATTACCTGGAGGCAAGGAGGGGCTTCCAGGCAGCGACCCGTTCCCATTGCCCAAGGAGGGGGCCCAGGCAAACCTCCTGCAGGCCAGAACCAGGAGGTCTTTGCACTGCTTGTGACAATTGGCTCCACAGTCTGAAAAATCCCAAAGTATGACAGGTGATTAGTGTGAACCACATGCCTCTGGGCTTCTGGGGTGGCGCTTGAGTGGTTTGCGCTCCTGGCCCCACCCCATCCTACATTCTGTATCGAATCTCAGAGCCCTGCTCAGGCCCACCGGGTGGGGCTCGGGGCTGGAGAAGGGCCCGTGGGACTCTCTTGCCTTTCGGGAGTTCCCAAAGTTCTCTTACATGTCTTCAGCTTCTTTATCTACACAATTTATTGATGTGCTGGGGAGCCAACAAGCAAGGGATGAGCTGAGGGGGAAGCTGCTTTTGCCCCAGGCTAAATGCAAGTCACATGGGTCTGGGGTTCTTTCCCAGGCCCAGATGGATTCCTCACAAATTCCCCTGAGCCTGAGTGAGGACGAGAAGCCTCAGCTTCTGTCTCCCCGAGGACCAACTGGCTAGGCTGATCATCCACAGCGAGGTGTCCCCCCATTCAGTATTTGTCTGCATTTCCTATTTTTCATTTCACAGCCCTTTTCCAGGGAAACCGATTAGATCTCCTGCCTTCTTTCTTTGCATAGAAACAAAAAACAAGGTGGGCAAAAGCTCACTAGACATGTTCCAAATTTGACTATGGCTCTGAAATGGCACACAGCAGATTCTGTGAAGTTTCCCACTAGGATGTTTTACTTTAGAAAGTAGATTGATTATTAATTGCTACTTGGCATAGAAAATGTTGGCCACTTTGGAAGACAGCCACATGATTGTTTCATCTGATGAGAGTCCTACATTTCCCTTAGGTTCCCTGTGCAGATATGATCATTTTAAAGAGTATATTCCTCTCTTATCATCGGAAGACCTAATAATTTCCAACACCTATTTTCCCTCAAATGGTCTTGTTTCAAATGGTTGTGTAATGACATCACAGAAAGGTCAAGTTACAATATGTTCAGTCTATTTTAGTTTTTCTTTTACTCTCTGTACCTTTAAGAGAAAATACCATATGTACAAAAATGATCCAAGAGTTTAATTGTTATACATCTTCATAAATTGTGTGTGTGTGTCTTTTAAGGTACAAGGGAGAGCAACCAGGATAAAACTAATGGGCAATAAGATATTGCAATGTTTGCTGCTTAAAAGTAAAAATCCAAGTTAGACTAAGACACTGGTACAAAGAACTACAAGGCAGAATCTAGTTTGGAGCACAAGAATGTAGCTCCCACTGAGACTCAGGAAAGTGTTCTATTCCTGCAAAATGGGCTTCAAACACTGAAAGGCCAGAGAACAAAAGGGATCCATGTTAATCTGAAGGCAGTTTCATGATATTTTTCAAGAGCATTATCAGATTCTTCAGAGAACCAGTATAAACAGTATAAAATATTCAGCCATTTCTTAAATCAACTAGGTGTAATAATCACATATGTACAAGTAGAAACACAGACCTAAGTACCTAATGATTCTCATGTGTATTGCATGCATCACATCTGTAATTATTTAGTTGTTTATAAATGTTAATGAAATAGGGAAGCTAGATGAATGAATTCATTGAAAGGGACAAGAGTAAGTTTTAAGGTTTCTCCTCTTTTCCCATCATCATCTGTGACTTAATAGGGAAAGGAATAGCGACGTGAGAGCAGAAAGCGATGCATATGTATTACAAAAAGAAGTATGTGTGTGTTTTTCCCCAAAGGATAAAGTTCTTATAATATAGCATTTTAGTTAGGCCTGTCCAACTTCAGAATTCCCACCTCCTCTGTGTGTTGATGATTATTTGCACGACATCTTAGAGAGTGGGGCTAGATATACGAGGGCTGATAGAGGTGATTTGCTTCCTCATCTAACAAGCTGTAAAAATCCAGTCTGGTATCTCAAAAACTCCAGGGAGTCCTCTCCGAACATGTTAACCCTTCAGTTGCCGGTGGCCCAAAAGACCCAAGTTCTTCATGATCCCAAGAACCTTTGCGGTTTCATCAGACAGATTTGGTTTTTGTCCCGAATGTCACATTTAAAAATTTTAACACAGTAACATTTATTTACCTTTGCATTTGTATCCTTGCTTGATTATTCCCCAGAGCTGTAACAAAAGACAAAGGGATGTCAGGGAATCTGAAGAAAAATCTGGAAAGAAAACAAGGCCACAGGAGAAGGAAGTCCTGGGAAGCTGATGACTAAGGGAGCACAAACAGGATGTAGCTGCTCCTGACACCCTTCCTGTCCTATAGAAGAGCCCTCCCCCAACCTCTTCCAGCTGCGGTGATAACAGGAATTTTGCTTCCCTTTTCTATCTGGGAGCCAAACGGGAGCTGGGATGGGACACAGACCGACATGGGTGCATTTATTGGACTTTAGCATCATGCCCTCTCAGCAAAATTCATAGAGGAGAGTTTCTCTCTCTTTGGTTTTATTTTTAATCACACACTGCTCCTGGTGCCCATGGCAGGAAATGAAGCAACCTCAGCGGCGTACTTCCCAGTACAGCATTCGTATTTTGCGGGGTTATTTTCTGAGTGGCATTAGTCTTAGAAAGCATACAGAAGAGGAAAGGATCTAGCATTTATTTGTGCACTCATTCTCCACATTCGCTCAGTGTTTTGAGCTGTGACAGGGCTTGCGGGGGACATAGAAGAGGTTCAGACTCTGCCAATCAAGGAGGAAGTAGGATGGAGGAAGTGACAAACGTCTCTGGAGAGATGTGAGGGTATTTGCCTGGGCGGTTCAGGGACACGGTCCTGGTGGTGGTGTCTTTGCACTCGTGACACAATGGAAACTGTGAAGAAGGGGCCTTCCCATGTCCTTTCTCATGCCTTTTGTAGCACTTACATGTGGGTACCAGGGACACCGGAAACATACAGTGTGGGTGAATTAAATGGGCTTAGCTCAAGTTGGAGAAGCTCCTCTCCTACCCTTTTGATGCTTAGGTTAGGTACCTGGTGTCTACTTAATGAAATAATTTTGAAAGATGCAGGTCTGGTGGCCTACTGGGGCTGACAGAGGTGTCATTCACAGTGCAATAGGGGAGCAACACCCGGAGTGTGGGCATTATGGCCGGAGGAGAAGAATAAGTAGCTGCCAGCATGAAGTGACTCAAGGACATTATAAAGGCTGCTCCTCGCCCTCCTTCTGATAAGAAAATTCCCCCAGGGAAGAGGGATTCCTTTGAGCCTTAAAAGTTATTGGGTTCTTCAGAATGCACTAGTAAGATGCAAATGCCTCCTCAGACAGGGCAATGTTTTACCTAGGGGACAAGAAGGATTATTAAGACAACTGACTGGAAGCCAGGCCTCAGGTGCCTCGGATGACTGGAAGAGGGGAGGGAAGTCCCAAGTCAGGGCAATGGCGTCATGTCAGAACCACAAGGGCCTTCAAGATAATCTTGTTTGCTGCTTTTTTTTCTTTCTTTTTTTTAAATAAAAAGTAAGTGTGATGATCCAGGAAATTAAATAATTTGGAAGGTCCCATGTCTGGGAAACTTTGTAGTGCTAAGAAATTGTTTCTTCACTGAGAACTTGGTAATAGTCATAACAATAATAACTGTGATAGCTAAGGTTTATTCAACTCTTGCAATGGGAGAAGCATGGTTTGAAGCTCTCTGTGTGCATTAACTCATTGAATCTTCACGATATCCTTATGGGATAGGAGATAATAATTTCCTCATTTTTTCAGATGAAGAGACTGAGGTACAGCGCAGTGGAGTCCCTTGGCAAGGCCTCATAGCGAATAAGTAGGGAGACACGAACATGTCACTTGAGATGAAGACAGGAAGCCATCGCTCCCGAGTGCGTGTGTGTGTGTGAGCAAAAGCCACTGATCTAAGACAAGAAAAGATAAGGTTTAGGGAGCATCCTAGTATCCAAATATGGCACATTATTAGCAAAGCAGCAGGAATTGCTGAAAAAGATATGGTCAAGCGAGAGTCTTCTGAGGAGGGGGAGCCAGGGCGCTGCCTGCGGAAGCTCACTGAGTAACGAGGAGACAACATGGGGCAGGAAGAGGCTGCCGGCCAAGGGCAGGGGAGGGTGGCCTCACGTAAATGTGTGTGCAGGAGGGCTTCCCACTGCCCTCTGTTTGGAAACCTGGGGTCACTGTAACACTTGGGGGGCCGACTGTGGTGTAAGGAGCACTGGACTGGGGGTCAGGAGACCTGAATATGAGTCACAGACCTGTTGCTAAAGATCCATGTGACCTTAGGGAAGTCGTTTAACTTCTCCTGACCTTGAAATAAGGGAATTAACAAAACTCTTTCAGTTCTGGAATTCTAATTTTAAAATAAATGTGTTTCACATAGTGTCTGTTTGTCTTCCTTATCCTTGAAATGGAATTTATTTCAAAAGCAGGTCGTCCAGGCACTGAAAAATGGTTCCTTGCATTCCCCTACAATGCCTTTCAATGATACATCTAGAGAGTTATATTTATAAATCCCTTTGAAACCAATGGACTTTTTTAAATGTTTGTGAGTAGTGATCAAAACAGAGTGTACCAATGATTAAATATATTGTGAGTAGTGATCAAAACAGAGTGTACCAATGATTAAATATATTTTACACAAAAAAGGGCTATTAAAACTTTAAGAGAGTTAATTTCCATTAAACTCCAAAAGTATCAAAGAACACTAAAAAAAGAAGAAATATTTACTCTGAGCTATGTGACGTGCAATATGTCTTATGTCATTTAATCATCATAACAACATGACAGGTAAGTATTAACCACCTTTACTGAAAACAGAGAGATGGTCAATAGCTTGGATCAGGACAAAGAGTTAGTATAGGGGGCAGAACTGAGATTCAAAGCCAGGGTTCCAGACTCCAAGCCCAGAGCTTTCTACCTCCGCAGAGCTGCACCAAGAGCCTAGTGCCAGCAAATGTGCTCTGATGAGTTGGGGAGAGGAGTATGGATGCTCCCCAGCAACACTGCCTTGCTGCTTCTATAGAGCAGATGCCTCCACAAAAGGGAGAGGCATCCAGAAGGCCTGGAGAGCAGAGATAAGCCCCTGAGATTTGATAATGGCCTTCCAACTCTCACAGCACAAGACAGGCGTTGCAACCGGACTTGCCCCTGGCTGTGCCATGGCCTGACGGGTTCGCTGGGCACCCCCCTCTGCAGTAGAGAGCTACCCCTGGCCTTGTCCCACCTCAGCGTTTTCAGGTCTGGATACATGCAAAAGTTCCCATCAGGAGACAGAAACATCGAAAAGGAGATATTTATTTTATGACAAAATGGTCAGGTGATGCAGTCCCAGTGGTGAAGCTGATAGAAGCAGCTCTCCTGCCCCAGGGCGGGCGAAGCGAGCCAGTGAGGCTGGCCTTGCCCCCCGACCACATCGGCTGCTGGGCGCACTGGGAGGGCAACCACTGGCTCTTCTTTACCCATTGCCGGAGGGGTGTGTGCTTAAACACAGACTCCTGCATTTGGGGCCCCTCGAAAGGAATGGAATGGGAAAAATTAATTTACGAGTAGCCTGGATTATCAGCAGTGAATTCAGTATGGGTCAAAGGTGGGACAGGACCACTGAATGAAGCTGACATGACTGAGCTCTGGCTTCCAGTAGGGAGCAGTAGTTATAGTCCCTTGGCCACTGGGCCACTCTCACCTGGAGTGCCACAGTCTCCATCTTATTATAACTTAGGTGTCAACTAGAAGATACCCAGGGCCCAAGAGTCTTTATTTAACACCAGGACCAAGCTGACCTTAGTCGCCAAAGAATTATCAAATGTGGGGAAATAAAGTGTGCAATCTTCGTTGTGGCAGTGGTGTAGGTAGAGCACAGGATTCAGAGTCAGGACGCCTGCATTTGAGTCCTGGCTCCGGCCACCGTTGGCTGTGTAATCCTGGGGAACTTGGGTTATCCTCCCTGGACCTCTGGGCCTTCACAGACAAATGGGGAGAGTAAAATGTTCATGAGGCTTCCATAGACATTAGTGTAATTAATCCCGATTACCAGCCTGTGATGTGTCAAATAAATGTTATTTATTATTATATCCATCTTCTCTCCAAAAAGATTTGTTTCCTTTTTGAGTTACGAACTATTGAGCCATGCCATGATGGATTTCCAGAGACTGATACCGTGTGAAATAAGAACTGGGAGGAACTGGCTAAGAGGAGCACTCTCCTTAATTGCACCACTTATGAGGATTAGTGATGGAGGCCATGGCTCATTGGGTGGAATGTTTCCCTGGGAAATTGCTCGCTTGAGTTAATAGGCTCACCAATCTTCCCTGTCTGTGCTGGCCCTGCATTCCTCGAAAAGACATAATTCAGCCTGGGGGTCTTGCTTTTGTTTGTAACTTAATCTTTATTTTCAGGGAGCCTTTGTGTGCTACTTCTGATCTAAGGCAGTCAATGGATTCTGCTTAGTGTATCATTTTCCTTCCTTCTCAGAATGCTGCACGAACAACTACAGACAAGAGGAAACAACGGAAGACAGACTTACAAATCCTGCACAGTGTTCGCAGAAGGTTGGCTTGAGATAGGTCACCTCCTGAAAATTATGGACAAATCCTGGTCCCATTTTACAGTGTAGTTGGGACTTGGCTCTCAGGAAGTAAGCCATCATTTCATCTTTACTAATCAGGCCATCCCTGTGAAGAGAATCAAAGACGGGAAGGATCTTTGAATACCATATTGCAAAGTGGTTGCCACACTTGAATCATTTACCTCCCAAACCTTTGTGACCAAAAGCCAGCGGGGAAGGTTCATTCACTTCTCTGTTACACCTGAAAGGAGGACCTCTCATAGGCTTGAAGTGCCAAAGGCTGTCTTAGCAAGCAGATGTGTGCATGTGTGTCTCCTTTATTACCAAATAGGGGCTTCCAGAAAGACATGTATCTCCTTTCTAGCCCTTGTCTCACAATAGCATTTGCAAGAATTAGAGTGCTAGAGGAAGGCAGAAAACTGATAACCGGTCCCACCATTCTCAGATTTATGCAGTATGATGTCATCCAGGTCACTGCCACCGGTAATCCTCTCTCAGAGTCATCCTTTCTCAGAGGCAGTCATGCTCCCATCCCCCATGCTCCAGCCTCCCAGGTTTTGCTCCCTCTCTTCACTTACTCCTCCTCTACAAATATGCTCAGAGCCTCCCTCCTAAAATGTCTTCCTCAATGCTGCCATCTCTGACACTCGTCTATTCTCTCTTTCTTCTCCTACACCAAAAATTTCCAAGAAGAGTATTTATTAGGTGTTTTTTTCCACTCCTTCTGTTACTCTTTACTCCATACAATCAGGCTTCTAACCCCACCATTCTACTGAAGATGCTACAAAGCCATCCTCAGTAGCCTTTTCTCATTCATTCCTTGAATCTGTTGACTTGCTGGTAGCATGTGGCATGGAGGCAGGTTGCCTCCTCTTTGGTACTATGTTCTCCATGGACTCCTGCGTTTCCCTGGTTTACCTCTCTTCTCAGGATCCTCTTTCTCTGGCTCCTCTACAAGATCCCCTTCTTCCTTTTAGCTTCTACACATGGGAGAGAGGAGCCCCCAAAGTCACATTCCTTAGGCCCCATCTGGGCTAACATGCCTGGGATGCCAGCTTCTGCCCCTGGGCTGAAGACTTCACACTGTACATCTCCAGCCCTGACTATTTTCCTGAGTCTTGGTGTCATATCTTCAGAGACTTTCTAGAATGCCTTCCTGGATGGTCCACTCTCCTCTCAAAATCAACATATCTGACTATCTGACCAAAGAAATCATGTAAGCTATGAATACTTCCAACTTTCATTTTTAGGAAAAAAATATATATCTGCTGGGCAGTCTCAGTTTCATCTAAAACACCAACAGAGAAAAGAAATAAAGACTGGGAAGTGATTTTACATTTATGTTCTGTGTACATGCCACTCATAGACACAAACAAAGGGGAGAAGTGGGCAGTTTGCAGGTCACTTAAATTTTATTTTGTAAAGGAAGTTTATATTTCTAGTGATTTAATTCATTTAAAGAGTATTCTATGTTCTATATATATAAGAAGAATTAAGGTTTTGAGACATTTATAATAAATTAGCAAGGCTTTCATTGGTATGTTGAATAATTTACAGATTTAATTTGTTAAAAAGTCTTACATCAACAAAAATACTAGAGGATTTTAATGTGATATATTTGGATATTACACCAATAGAAAATCCAGCACTTCATTACAGAAGATTTTTAAACTACAAACTAATCTTACATAGTTAAAAATTAATCAAATTATTAATGTCAGGCTTTCTTGGCCATTATATTTTATCATTTTTTAATGAGTTGGGTTTTAGCCTCTAAACTCACTCAATTTTTCAAGAATTTTTTGAGGATAAAGAGAAAGAAAATTTTTTTTTTCAAGACTACCACTGAGCTGGTAAGGAAAAAAAAAGCATGGATACTTCTTGGCTCTCTGCAGCCATAACCTGCTCTCATGAAGACCATAAGTAATCCAAATACACACACACACACACACACACACACACACACACACACTTTCTTGTTGAGTTTCAAGACTGCAGATTCACTGATGCTGAGGACTGCACCTGGTTAGCTCTAACACTATTTCTCCTCTACCTTTTTTGGCAGAGGTGTTTGGGTTGACAAACTAGCTAAGCAGTAGAAGCGATGTGGGGAATGGAGAGCTGGGCTAATTTGCAAGGGGGCACTTGTACTCAGCACTGATGATGTGGTCTGTCTTGCAGTTTCACCCAATGAGTCATGTTCATGGTCACCAAGAAAAAATTCAGTGAAAAGTTTGATTCATCAATGCACTAGGATTGAAGCTGTCAAGATGTAAATCAACAATTTCCTTGCTCTCCTCTGATAATAATTTCCTGCTCCAGGGCAGTTGCATTAAAATATAACAAATTAAAACTTACTGATCTTTGTCCAGCACACAGAAAGAATCCAAGAAGGGAAAATTGGCAGCTATACTTTCAAAGTCCTCCTGGGAGATGTACCCATCGTGGTCATGGTCATAGTTTCTAAACACGGACTGCAAAGGAAAGACAATTATTTATTTCATGACCACTTTTAAGTCAGGCTCTGAACTTATTGGGAACAATGATAACTAGCATATTATTCTTTCTATCAAGGGGCTTAGAATCTTGTGGGAGACAAGAAAATCAAGAGTTTTTATGATATAACACGGTAAGTGCAATGCTATTGATAAAAACAGTGCTATTGGGGAGGAGGCTTTAAAAAGGTTTCCTGGAGAAAATGAGATCTAAACTGAGACCTCAGGGTTGAGCAGGAGTTAGGCTTGGTGAATTCACAAATTCCAATACCACATCAAAAGAAAATGAAGCTATAAATGTGAAATTATCTCAAAACAAAATATACTTTTATTTTTTCTTGACCTGATTGATTTTAACCGTATTTTTTCCATTACCATTTATCCCCTTATACCCACCCCCAACACCCTCGCAATCACCACACTGTTGTCCATGTCTATGAGCATTTTTTCCTTTTTGCTCCATCGCTCTACCCCCCAACCTCCCCAGCCTTAGCTGTCAGCCTCCTCTCTCTGAGTCTGCCTCTATTTTGTTTGTTAATTCAGTTTATTCATTTTAAAGCAATTCCAGTCAAAATCCCTGTGGGAATTTGTTTCAAATGAACAAACTAATTCTAAAGATCAAACAGAAGTGAAGGCAAAAAGCCTAAAATTAGGTAAGTTAAGAAGTAATGAGGCTGCCACCATCTTGGTTCTGCAGTCACCGCGAAAACGCTGGGTGAAGCCACAGAAGCCGCCCATGCTACAGAGCAGGCATAGCCACAGCCCCAGGCTGAGACAGGGACTGGACAAAGTCTGAAAGTGATGAATCAGCACCAGAGCTCGAGGCACAACATTCCACACAGGCAACCACACAACAAGCCCAACTGGCAGCAGCCACTGAAATCGATGAAGAACCAGTCAGCAAAGCAAAACAGAGCCCAACTGAAAAGAGGGCACAGAAGGCCAAAACTGGGTCTTTGACCCATTACAGTGTTTACTAGGGTCACTATCTGAAGATATAAGAATATCCTCTTTGTCATCATAAAACCAGATGCCTACAAGAGCCCAGTTTCTGATACCTACATAGTTTTGAGGGGGAAACCAAAATCAAGGATTTATCTCAGTAAGCACAGTTAGCAGCTGCTAAGAAATTCGAAGTTCAAGGTGAAGCTCTCTCAAACGTTCAAGAAAACACAGACTCCAACTGTACAAGAGAAGAGTAAAGAGGAAGAGGCTGACGAGACAGGCATGGAGGTTAAGGACGTAGAATGGGTCATGTCACAGGCACGTCCGTTTTCCCCACATTGGTGCTGCTATCCCTCTTTCTATAGGGAAAACTCTGCCAGAGCCCTGCCCTTCGCTAAGCGGTGCTTCTTACCCACATGGCATCGTGCTGCTGGGTCACAGACCCCCAGAGGCACACAGCAAGGGCACCTATCCAACCCACAGGATTTTTCCCCTACTCTCAGGCAACCAATGTATTGGGCATGTTACTGTGACCTGGGTGGGTTTTGAATGAGAAGGTTCCCCAAGCAGTCACTCTAGTTGCAGGGGCAATGATGGAGGTGTCAGACATGGGAGACAGAAAGGAATTAAAAGTAGCTGAGAGTAGTTGGGCAAGTGAGAAGAGAATGGCAAGCAGGCGAAAGGCGGCCTTTCTTGGAGATTCTGCCCCAGAGGCTGATGCCAGACAGAGCTAAGTGTCTGCTAAATTGTCCCTACCTGCCAGGGGCTGTGTTCATGGACTCCATATGACTCCTGGGCAACCAAAGAATCTTCTGGAAAGAGAAAGGGGCCTTCTAGCACTCACTCTTAACGCTCCTTCCACCACTTACCTCAACTAATTTCCTTATGTGCTTGTTGATGACCGTGGGGTCTGGCTTTGGCATCACTGCCGATGCCCACTCCAGGGGCACCACGGGCTTGGTGGGCGTTGTAGGGGAGGTAGGCTGCTGACAGAAAGCACAACAGTTTTCAGCTTCATCTGGGCCTTGAACAATTAGGACCAGGGACACCAAGAAAGCCATATACATCTTGTATATTAATAATCCCAGTAAACATGCACACGTACATCGCACTTGAATGTTTTGAAAACATCTTTTGTCAGTGGAATCTAATCTGTAACTAAACACGTGTTGGAATAGTGCATTCTGCTTAGCAGCAACCTAGATTCCATTATGTTTAATGGAAAAAGAAAATAATTGCTGTCCGAGCCCATGCAAAAATCCTATCCAAGTCTCCCAGGTATTAGTAAAACACCCTTAAACCTCTATATAACAATCTATACAGATTTTTGTATAATGCAAAATATATAAAACACCAGTTACCTCATTCATTAATACTGGGTGTTAGTGATAAATTAGTAGATGTGCGCAGTACATGGGTACCAGTGTTCAGCCAAGTTTATGTCCTTATATCGGCCTCTCTCTGAATACACTTAATCACTTTAAATGTTTCATTGTTAGGTCTCTCTAGCCTTCTTTGGTGAAATTGCTTTCTACACAAGTTTTTCCACATTGTGGAAATGTCTTGCAAGACATTTTCACTTAATAATGTAAAGATGTTGGTGATAAAGCATAACGCAAGTGAAAAACACAATCCCATCAGGAGAGCAGCCAAGGGTGCTGTTTACTTGACATCCTCTCCCTGGGCCCCCACATAATGTAAATATTTTGGCTGGTGTACGAATGCACACTTGTATCAACAGGTGTTTTTTGTTTTTTTTTTTATTTGATACTAAATTAGGAACAAACATTTTTGCAAGAGGAATTGAGGAGTAACTGTACTAATTTAAGCCCTGAGGAATTTTGTGAGGTGGGTGTTGCTGGCACCCAAAAACACCAAAAAGTACCTGCCACCTGATTATGGTCGCTCTCACAGTCACTCACACACGTGCCTGCGCACATTACGTCTCTTTCTAACAAGATTTCCATTTTGTTGGCCTGATGAAGGATAAGCCTATGGTTCCCAAACTGTACAGCAACATGCCCTGCCCAGAGTACTGCAGAGAACTTAGAGGCGTACCAAAAGATATTGCAGACTTCCAAGGGAAATATAGTGAAACCCAATGTTTGTCAGATCCATGTAAACTATCAGCTTGAAGCAGTTCACTGGTCACCCATTAGATAGCGCTCCATTTCTTTCGATGATATTGTATATTTCTGAAGCAAAACATCAATGTGGAACAAGAAAAAAGGGTGACAGTAACCAATCTAATTTCAAGATAAAAGAAATTGTCCACTGGACAAATTGTCCACTGGACACCAGCCCTGGCTGGTGTGTCTCAGTGGACTGAGTGCCAGCGTGCAAACTGAAGGGTTGCTGGTTTGATTCCCTGTCAGGGCACCTGCCTGTGTTGCGGGCCAGGTCCCCAGTTGGGGGTGTGCAAGAGGCAACCGATTCATGTTTCTCTCACACATCAGTGTTTCCCTCCTTCTCTCTCTCTGTCCCTTCCCCTCTTTCTGAAAATAAATAAAATCTTTTTTTTAAAAAAAAGAAAGAAATTGCCCAGTGTCTAATAAGCACACACATTCATTAGTACATAACCGCGGTTATTTAATAGTGAAATAGAGAACATTTTTATTTCAATGTATGTGTATTATTTTTTCAATTGGATACTAAGTTGTTAGAACATAAATATTTATTACATTATTTGGACTTAACTATTTCATAAGTGGAACTGTTGAGTATTTTATTTGACCTACATGTCACGTGAAAAATCTAAGACACATAATAAAACATAAAGAACTAGTGAGGCATGAAGGGAGCCACTGTGAACATGTTATAAGAAGTTCACAGAGGGACTGGCTGCTTAGGCGAGGTTGGGCGCATTGAAGCTACAGGCTCTCAGGAGATAATTCTGACTGCAACTTGCTCTCCAGCGACCAGCACAGGTCAAACACTAAGCACAACATAATATGGCATTTCACTAGGAGAGGAGACAGAAAGGATTGGGGAATGTGTTTCATAGACTCGCAAGATTTTAGCACTTAGAAGAGGCTTTCAAGGTTTCTGTTTCTACAAAAAATAAGACGACTTTTCTCCTCGATGGAATCACGTTCCCAAATTGGCAAAAAAAAAAACCGATCCTGAAAATAAACTTAAGTAAATCTAAAGAGTACAGATCAGGCAAGTGTGCTAACATGATTGATCCGGCCCTGCTCCCACAAGAGGTGGTGGGAAAGCGACAGTCCTTCAGCAAACAACGCACAGGCGTTGCAGACAGGCTGAGGCTCAACCCCGGTTCTCCCACTTCCTGGAGACAGATGCTCACCAGACTCAGTTTCCTTTACAAAGTCAATGAGATAACATGAATAGGATGCCCCGCCAGGCATGCAAAAACTAACAGAGAGCAATGAAGGGACCTGGTTTTAGGTAAAGAAAAGTGTCGGATGTGGAAAGGCTGCCTGCACATGTGCAGTACAGCCGCCTAGGCCACGGCCAGACTCATGTCATCAAAGGTCTGGAACGAGGGCAGAGCTTACCAATTCCTTTATTTCCCCCTCCAAAAACTTTGCCTATCTCTCTAGCTCTCTCAGTCACGATAACTGTGAAGAATCTGGGCCCCCACTCCTCCCTTTGTGTCTGCTCTTTGTTCCCACACGGCTCTGTTCTCCCCAGGAGATGAGCCTCTGAGGACTGGCAGGAGGTGAACCTGCTGATGGAACCACCACACTCACTATTTTAAGAACGAATGATACCAGGTCAGCTGACTCTGACTCCTGCTGAGGCCCTCCCAGTGCCAGGGAACAGCACTCAGAGCCGTTCTGCCTCTTGCTGTTTCATGGTGCAGAGTCGTGGTCAGTGTTAACAGACAGGCAGACTTAGGGTCTAGAGCTGCTGGCAATGTGCCACAGAGTTTAACTGGTATGGTAATAAGCATGAGACCTTTATTTTAAAAAAAGCAAAAAACTGATCTCAGGATAAGAACGTAAGAAGCAAACATAGACACTTTTCTCTTCAACATGCAAACTTCATCCTCATTGTAAATTTCAAATTCACCCAGGTATTTTTTATTAGTGCAAAATATACCTAAGATACAGTCCACTTGCTAAAACTGATGAGTAGTGCATATTCAGTAATGCATTTTCCTCAATCTCATTACATAATGTTTCAGTAATAAAGAGCCAGCCATCAATTAAGTGAGGCACTACCTAATGTAATATTAAAACTCTGAGCCCCGTCAATCATTAGTAGAGGAATTCGTGAATTATGATCAGGGTAGTTAAAATTTACAAAATCTAATTTTATGTTGAATGGGATTTTTTTAAAAAGCCAGGAAGGCTCAGTGGTGTCCAAGCTGTGGCCTGCAGGCTGCATGTGGCCCAGGACAGCAACGAACATGGCCCAATACAAAATTGTAAATTTATTTAAAACATTATGAGGGTTTTCTTGTGATTATATGTCACAATGTATTTAATGGGTGGTCCAAGACAACTCTTCTTCCAGTGACCCAGAGATGCCAAAGGATACCCCTGGATGATCTTTAATGTGATGATGAGTTATGGTTCATTTTGGGGGGGGGCCTCTGTGTTGGCGAGTTTTCAGAGGCAGCACAATCCATAGAAGAGCAATAGTGAAATAGAACAATTACAAACAATGATCTTCTTCATTAGGCTATGTTAAGAAATAATTCTCTAACTGCCAGGGCTAAGCTGTTTCATTGCTAAAAAGGGAATAATAGAGATTTTTAAATTCTTCAGTCTTTACATCACAAAACACCACTGCAACAGCCAGTTGCTGTAAGTGACAACTCATGGGGTTTGACACCGATCCTCAGAGAGACAGCGATACCTACCGATTTAGAATTCCTAGGCTCCAGCACCAGTGACAGCTTATAAATATCGTCTTCTGTGTGATAGAGGTCCAGTGAAAGCTACAACAAATTAGAATGGATAAATAATTATGCTGGCTCATACTCATTTATTTGAATTGCTGAAACACTTTCCAACCTGAATGTTTTAGCCAATGTCTAATAATTTGATTGACTGCGGAACAGTACAAAGATGGCAAGCAGAGGTGGAAAATGAAATTAAAAAGAGAAAAAGTTAAGCTTCCCGTGGTCATCAGCATCAACAAGAACCATTGACTCAACTCCTCAATAATACTTTTGAGCATCTTCTAAGTACCAAGCAAGCAGGAGATAAGGCGTCTTTGATGTTAAAAAGCAGGAGCAAATGCATAAATTAAGACTTGTAAATATAATAAATGCTCTTAGAGGTTTGACTGAAGAACTGTATAAATTAAGGAGAAATTACTAGGTTTCTATCATTTTAGGGTATTGTGCTAAGTCCTGGTGATATAAAAAGGTATAAAATCATTCCTACCCTCAAGGGCCTGACAGTTTGTTGGAATAAATGAGACCCGAACACAAAAAGACATGTTCACATCAACAAAAGGCAACGCAAGCTAAATGTGAAATAAGTTGCCTCGTTCTAAGTGCTATATAAATCATTCAGGGAGGCAGGTGAAGCATGAGGGAGAAGTTTGGAGTTGGGGGGTCTGAGTTCAAATGCTGAGCCTACCACCAATTAGCTCTGTGACCTTGAGCCAATTATTTCCTTCTGACAATCCATTTTCGCATCTGTAAAATGTGCATCATCATAAAAGTCCCTACTGAATTGGATTTTTATCAGGATCAAATGTAAAAATGCATGTAAAGTACTTCACATAGGACCTGGGACATGGTAGAATCTAAGAAATGTAATTTAGAGTTGTTGATGTTATTGCTATTAATATAGCTATTACTGCTAATATTATTATTTTGTGTGGGGGCCACTGAAGACAGAAATGATAAGGACTGATCCACACAGCAACTTGTGGATTGAGGCGTCCTGGCGGGACTTGGACAAAGAAAGAGGGAGAAAAAGGTCAGGGTAGGCAAGGACAACAATGAATAATAATCTAGAAAACCTAAATGCGTGGTTCCATTCACCTGAAAAAGGAGAGTCATGAGACTTAAAATAAGCCTGGATAATTCTCACCATGTCCTTCAATGTTAAGACACTCAACTAACCACGCCACTTTATCAGCACTGAAGATAATCAAATGCCTGTCCTCTCTTTGATTGCTGCACAGAAAATTCACTCTCACATGTGTTGTCTAAAGGTAACAGCTTAATATGTATGTATGTGGAGAGATGGGGAGAGAAAGAAGCAAGCAAGAGACAATTCAGAGGCATTGTCTTCAAGGATTTATCTTCCTGTTCTAGCTCAATTAAAAAAGAATTTGACATTATAAACTGTCATTTTTTAATTATTCATTCAGTCGATATTTATTAATCACTTAGTATGTGCCAGGGACCATTCTAGTCACTGTTCAAGCTATTAAATAAAACATTTAAATGAAGAATTTCATATATCAGCCATGACTGGTGTGGCTCAGTGGGTTGGGTACTGTCCTGGGAACTAAAAGTCATCAGTTCGTTCAACTCCCGATCAGGGCACATGCCTGGGTTGCAGGTCAGCTCCCCAGTTGGGGGCGTGAGAGAGGCAACCAACCAATGTTTCTCTCCCTTTCTTTCTCCCTCCCTTCCCCTCTGCCCAAAAATAATTAGAAATTTTTAAAAAGTACTTTCCTCTATCAGGTCATATACTGCTTTTTTTAGACTTTGTCACCTAAAGGTTTTTCTGAACATAATAAAAAATTGACTTTACAATAAAATTGCTCCAGCATTACTTCTGATCATGAAAACCCTGCTCCCAAAGAATGTACCCTGTATCCATCTTCCCCTGAAAGAGCCACTCTTACCTCGAGGGCTTTGCCTTTTTGTAGAGAGAACCAGCCCCTTATCACAAACTTATACCTTAAGGAGCCGGCCATTATAAAAAAGTAGGATTCCTGAAAGGAATTTTTTTTTCCAAGAGGATATTAAATAGTTTATTGACTACGCACAATAACAGATGATCCACAAGCCTCATTCCCATCTATGATTTTCTCTGATACCATAATTCAGTTCCGATATATTGCACAGGATGGGCCAATAATCATTAATAACCCAGTAAACTCCATGGCTCTACTTGAATAATCCCAAAGGGGACATTTTGATAGCGATATCAGCATAACAATGTCTTATTAGAAATCCAGGTCTTTGCCAATGTAATTGACTGGGAGCGGGGGCGGGGTGGGGGGTGGCGGTTCCTGTTAGGTGGACAGCAAGGAGAATTTGTGTTACAGAGTGGAACCTGCCTCTGGGACAGAAAAGCAATAGGCAATGGCATGGTGCCTGATGAATGGCGGCCTGCCACGACTGAGCGAGGGCAAACCGTTGTCAGTGCGACAATTGCCGTCTTCTGATTGGTCAAAAGAAGTAAAAAACCTGGGGTTTTATATGAAACATCCCAATTTTTAAATGCTGGCTCTAATCACAAAAAAATTTTTATAATTCCATGTGAGCCCAATGAAACGCCTCTGCCGCGGGCAGGTGCTCACACGTTTGTCAGTCCCGCACGAGAAGACCGCGCCAGTCCCCGAGCCTCATGAAAGCAGGCAGTGCCTCTCGTTCTCCCGCCTCTGTCATCTCTGTCCCAGCGTGTTGCCTTGCACTGTGAATGCTCCATACATAGAAGCAACACCAAGTGACACCTTCCTTCTGAATTCCTTGTTTTTAAGAGTTATATAGTCAATAATATTGCAATAACTACGTGTGGTGCCAGTGGGGTACAGGAACTATCAGGGGGGACACTTTGTAAAGTATATGGCTATTTAACCACTATGCTGTACACCTGAAACTAGTACAAAATAACACTGAATGTAAACTGTAATTGAAAAAAATTAAAAAATAAAATAAGTAAACTATTCAAGAAAAGAAAAAAAGAGTTAATCTGGTCTTCGATGAGCACGTTCCTGTCCTCCTGACTCAGCCTCCGACTGGCACCAGCATCCTCTGGGGAGGAGTTGACAGCAGCACCAGACATCCAGCCAGAAATTCAAATAAGCCACACACTAAGTAGGGGAGATGCTTTCTCAAAAGTCACAGAACATCCTTGTGTTTTTTCATATGTCAAAGGGACAGATATTTGAGCCTATAATGGAAATGTTTTGATCTTCTCCCAGTGTTTGCTCTCCATTTCTCAGTGGTGCTGTGAACCTGGGCAAATCATCAGCCTTCTTGAGTCTCAGTCTCCTGATCTATAAAATGGGAATTACAAATAACAGCTCCCTCACAGGACTGAGGCAAAAATTCAATGAGCTAAAGCGTGTCCCGTGGGGCTTGTTTAGAGGGTCACGCAGGTGGGGACCGCAAGATTTGGTTTCCAGTCAACGCAGCAGCCAAACGCCACCGTGCTGCTCATCGGTGAACATGAAGCTGCCCTCTGGGCTCCTGCTGCCGACTCGCTGCTTTCCAGCCGTGATCCCACTTGCTTTTTTGGATCTCGTCGGGGTTTTGCGGCCCTGCACAAAATGACCTGTTCGACTTCCTATCCTGCTTTTGTAATATAGGCAGCTTGTCAACAGGATTATAAGAATATTTGCTGGTGTCAAACACACTTTCGGTTTGGTTGTTTCTGAAAAATGTTCTCAGTCACTGCTTCAGGTTGCTGCATTTATACCCAAACCTATTAGCAAAGATGGCTGTGGATTCGATGTGCACATTCAGACCTGCGTGGCCTGGAGCAGGGAACTGCAGTACAAAACACACTTGGTCATCACACTATCTCCACTCAGCATTTTTGCAATTCTTCTTCTATTTTTCTTATGAGACTGTAAAAAAAATACAGGGGCTTTCCAGTTATTTGCATATACTCAGAATGGTAAAAGTAACTGATAGATCTAAAAATATTATGAAAAGAATCAGACCATTTTGTATGCATGAAACGAGGAACCTTTACAGCTCCTGGCACGTGAATTGGGATCACAATGAAAAAAGCAGTGTTCTCCAGATCTTCCGTGAAGAGAGGAACAGTCGGAATCACAACAGTTCATTGGCGTGGGCCTGCTCCCTTCATGTGTGCAGGCCCATTCATGGGCTCACATGACAGTGATGAAAATGGCATCCGTAGTCCCTGCCCTCCCAGATTTTGTTCTGCGATCAACTCCTTTACACACCCATGAAGAAGGAGAGGGAGAGAGATTACTTAATTTTTACATGTGCAAAATGAATGCCAACAGTCTGGCCACATCACAGAGTAAGTGTCTGAGAAAGAGAGACCCGAGCTGGGATTTAGAACTTTGCCATTTGCGAGCCTTTTGTCCTTTATAAATCTCAATGTCTTCATATGTAAAATAGGAAGGGGCAGGGATAACGTTACACTCTCTGTCCTGCCCAAGCGCTACAGTAGCACAGGGTGCTTGTGAGAATCTACCAAGAAAATGTACGTGAAAAGTATTGTGAGAACTGTAATCGACTATTACAGCAAGTTCACGCATTGCCCTGCGGCATACTGCACGGAGCAGGCATTGGGTAATTGTTGATTAATTCGAGACTTTCCATTTTCTGTCTTCCAGGGCTCTCAATCATGTATCAGCCATGCAAACAGTCATTTCAGGCAGAAACTTAAGAATTGTCTTGCATAGTCCTCTGCTCCGTGACACTCTCCTCCAGACCATGAAGACAGCTTGGACACAGACATGTGAAATCTGGGTTGCTCTGCAGACATCACCTGTGTCTGTGGGTTTATAGTCTCTTTCAGGCTGCCAGTCTGGGCACTTATTCATGGAAACAGATTTACATGGCAAATGATCAATGAATCCAGGTGCCTGGATTATTGTAAGGTTCCCCACCCAGTAGAGAATGTGTGTTTATTGTTTGTCACATAAACTCAACCTCAAGAGATTTGCATTTTTATGTGTCGGCTACTTCTGCTTTATACTAAGGGTGCAGATGGCATCATTTTGCAGACACAGGGTTTCTCTTTTTTGGTAAACAAGGATGTGCTCTAGGAACAGTTCATGAGAAGGTCTAGGAGCCGCACTCTATTCCAGTGTGACAGTCCTAGGGGATTTAGGCTCTAAGAGTTTCAGAAAGGGCGTTGTTTTTATTTTCCATGGCCATTAAACAGTCAGTTCAGTGTTGCAGCCGAGTTTCCGATGCCACAGTGTTATAAACCTAAACAGGGAAGCTGCTTCTCCACTTGTTGAGCAAGGGTGAAAGAATCTGGTTCTGCTTCATCCCCCCGATCAAGAGGGAGCCAATTGGACAAGGTCTCTTCCACATACCTGTTATACCTAAAGGTGCTGAGATCGGGACGCCAGCTAAAGGTGTGTGTCACAAATGCCCCAAAATGTGAATGGTAGGTGAACTTCTGTCTGACTTCCATCATTCCTAAATGCAGCATTTAATTCACCTACTGAGCTCCTAAATATGCCATGTTTTGTGAGAGGTGCTAGGGACATGCAATGCATGTCAGGTAACAAAAAAAATCTCTTGCCGAGTGATACTTCCTATAGATAAGAAGGCACAGAGTGCAAAGGCAACACATGTGACGGGTGCATTTAGTGCTTTGGAGGGGAACAGGAAATGATCCAGAAAGACAGAGGCTTTTGAATTGGGACCAGTAACAGGCATGGGCAGGGAAGGGATTTTCCAAGAAAATGCAAGACCAGGAAGCAGAAGGCAGCGGTTCGTGGTGGAAACATAAGAAAGTCCGCTATTCCTCAAAGGCAGCTTTGATGTGGGGCCGGGCGATGACAAACAAGGCCCACCGGAGGGTCAGGGAGGGTCAGGGAGCGAGACCGACGGGCCTCCAGTGCCAGGCCGGGCACTGCCTCTCGGGGTGCGGCGAGACTGGCGGGGAGGGGCCGATCGCAAAGGAGGTTCTCGCATTACTTCAGGCCTCAACAACAGCGGCGCAGTGAGGATGAAGAGAAGCGGAGGAGTTGGGGACACACAGAAGGAGGCAATTAATCATGTGAGTGTGACGAAGGAGAATGAGGGGCTGAAGACAGCTCTGGAGGGCCTGTCTGAGAACTCTAGAAACGAGCTACTGGGGCGTGGAAACTGGGCTCCTCAAAGCAAAGGGAAATTTCTTTGCCCTAAGATTAGAGTCTTAAGTCATGTGTGGTTCTGGGTATGGAGTCCCCTCCCCTCAACCTTTGAGATTTCTCCTCATCTCCTGCCCCCGAATTCAACCTCCTCCCTGCGCCCGGTGAACTGCGGGCACAGATCCCCCTGCATCCCTTGGGATGTGAGGTGCAGAAGAGGAATTCGCCCAAACCCCAGTCCTCTAGACTCACCGTGAGCAGGTTGATCAAGTCCATGTTGGGCTCTAGGTGGTGGGAGGCGTTCTGCAGGGAGACCAGTTCACTCAGGGTGACGGAGAGCTGGTGCATTTTCACAATGTTCACTTTGTTCTCCTCCGTCCAGTCTGGGAAGATGACATGGACTGCTATCAAGTCTTTCAAGTGCACGCCAAGGATGGGGATTTTGAAGCCGTCGCAGTCGGCAAAGGCCTTGCGGTAATTGCAGTAATTGCCGTTGGAGGAGACCAGCTCTGTCATTTCATTCCAGTTCTGGGAACAGATGAAAAAGGAGAATTTTCAGACAGCCTCCCCATCTGCCCACCCCCAAGCCTGCAGTGTGTGTCTAGGAAATTCCTCGGCTACGGAGAGAAGTATCAATTGCCCTCATGTTGTTGCAAAGAAATATTCCACAGGGAAAAGCAAGAAACATGTACTAGGCCTGGCTATGAGTTAGACAGCCTGTTCCTTTCGGGTACAACATGCAAGTAGCCCACACCTCTGCCCTAGCTAATAGGGATGTTGAGATTTAAATATCACTGTGTGTTTATCTATGTTGCAATTAATGAAACTATTACAGTCCAAAAATGCAAACATGTATTGTATTATATTTAAGCATGCAGTGTATTAAAATGTCCTAGTTATTCCAAGAGAGTTGCCTTTGAGGTATTTTGTGGAGGTTAATCTGGGACAGTATGGGGTAGGAAAAGTGACACTGAGGTGTGAGACAGCTGTGGTTTTGAACTCTGCCACTAAGTAGAAGGGAGAACTTGAGCAAGTCACTTCACTTTTTAAGGGCTCAGTTTCCTTTTCCATAAGAAAGAGGAATTCAAATAAATAGTCTTTTAAGACACCGTGGTGGTTCCAAGCCTCTGTGAGCCTCTGTTGAATTCATATTCTTCACAACATTTAAAATGTGTTTTGCTCTTTACTTGAAGTTCACTACAAAGCTTAGGGAAAATGAAACCCATAATGAACCCCACCATACTTGGAATGAGTGCAGTGTTTGAGGTCAGACAGCAATGCTTCTGTGGTTTACATCCTCCTGTTTATATGGACAAGTTATTGCTGGTTACCTAATAGCAACCAGACCTTCCTAATAGAAACTAATTTTGATCAGTCTACTCTTTCCCAGAGCAGCCATGTAACTCAGATGGAGCTGTTTCCATCCCTAGGTCCAAGAATGGGTTCTGACTTACCATCATCATAATTCTGGTTTGTGATTGGTTCAGAAACACAGAATTAAGCCAATCAGTACATTGTATTCCTCTGGCAACTGTAACTGTTCCAGGAGTGGGCATGTTACTTGAGATGGTCCAATCTGTCTTTTTTTTTTTTTTTTTTTTTTTAAAGATCTTTAATTCGATAGGGGGAGGGATGAAGAGAGAATTTTTCTCTGTCTCTACCTTTCATGAACAAGAAAGCATAATTTTCTGTGGATAGCCCAGTCGGGAGGGAAACCAGTCTTATGAAACAAAACAAAACAAAAACTGATACTCAGAGGAAGGCAGGGCAACTGAGGCAGAGCTCTGATCAGACCATACCTGAAGCAGCCCTGCCTTTGAACTTCCGGGTATATGAGAAGATGATCCATCGTCTTATTGTTTAAACAATTTCAAGAGTCTTAAAAGATGGGTGAAATTGTCCTTACTGATACAGCAAAGTATACTCTTACTAGAAAGTCTTTTCATAAGGATGCAATATTTCTTTCTGTTCAGTAAGGAAAAATATTATTATAGTTGTCTGGAAATAAATATGGCAGAAAGCTTGATTTGGGAAACGACTGCTTTTTAAAAAATATATGTGTATTTATTCTGGACAAATCAGCGATAAATCTAAGGAATTTCTATAAAAGGCCTATGCTCCTCCTTCCCTTGTATCTTCTGCTGAGCTGAACACATTGCCATGAACAGAGCAGGTGTTCAAGGACTTCATTCAAGGAGGGGAAGACAGGAATGATTTCTGTCTTATTCACCTTATCCTCCCATGTGTATCATAGTGCCTATCACACAGGAAGCACCAAAAACATACCTGTTGAATATTTACAACTACAGTATGTAGTGGTATTCAAGGGATTCTTACCTGGGACACCTGCTGCTGCCTCCAACCTGTTTTCCAGGGGGCATGTCTACTCCCTCCCTACTTTATCTCCTCTGTGCCACCTGCTATTGCCTAAGAAGAAAACGCCCCCGCTGAGTGACGTTTGTGAAGTGCATCTTAACCTTAAGCAGTTTACTAATGAATTTTTTACTTGGGATTAGGATCCGACCCGCCGTACCTTCGTAACTTCTGAAGAAAGATGAGAGTGGGTCTCTTTGAGGCGTGAAATGGAACTGTGACTGAGGCCCCCCACCACTGCCATCAGGGTGTTAAAGTTTTTGAGCTGAAGGAGCTTCTGCAATTTAAAAAAAAAAAAAAGTTAACATTGCTACTTTGTAACAATTTTTGAATTATTCCAACCTTTCTGAATGTATTCGATGTATATGCAATTTAACAACAAGGAGGACCTAGGAAAAATAACATCAATTTAAAATGACGCACAAATAAAATCAACTGGGAAAACGTATCAACCATTTCACAGAAAAATAGCTACATTGAGTGCTTTTAGATATTGCCAATTAAAAGCAATCTTCCTGCATGAGAGAAGTATTTGTTCGTTAGACATTTATGAGTAGTTTAATTGTCCTTTATATTAAGAACCCCAAATTTCTTCAATGACTTTTCTCAATAGAGGGAATGAACATCTAAAATACTTTAAGAACCCCAGTTTAATACATACCTTGGCAACATTGATAAACTTCGTGATGACTTCTGCCCTTTGCTGAGGGGTTGGTTTGCTAAGAACCATCAACTGGACCCACTTAGAGATTCCATTAAATAAAGCAATAGATCTCTCCAAGGTTGGGTTATTCTCTAGGCATCCATGGATGACATAGCTTTGGTAATCGGTGAACTAGTGAAAGAAGGTTCAGAGAGTCTGAGTTATAATGAAGTATTTGCAAAATCAAAAATTAGAATGGTGCATGAAAGAGGTGACATATTGTTTCATCTCAGCCTAACAATTTCTTCATTTCACATTTTAATGGCATCTTAAAAGTTTAAATGTACCTTTAGCCTGTCGTTTTGTTGCATTTTACTCCCCAACACACACAGACATACACTTATTACACAAGACAACGTGGGTGGAGCAAGGAAGCGCTAAGACTCCAAGTGACATTCCACTGAAACCTAAATTGCTGGATGGCAATATCCACCTGGGGCGTTGGCTAAAATGGTGGTTTCTGGGAATACCCCAGACCTAAAGGATTGGTACCTCCAGAAGAAGAACCACGGTTAGTGATTCCAATGGTCAGGCTCATTTGAGATACAACAGCATACATTAAAAAAGAGGAAATGAATATAAATATAATGATTTCAAATTTTATCAAGTTGTTTTAAAAAACAGCAAGGGAAGTAAGACAGGTCTTTAGTAAAACAGACATATTTTCAGGAAGTCAGCATGGATGTCGTCCAATACATATGAGCCTTCTATCTTATAAACAATGGAGGGGGTTCCCTCTTACAGCTTGTAAGAGCCGGGAAGGACCTCTCCAAGTAGGATTACTTGGTTAAAAGAGTTACTTTCAGAAATCCAGACTTCTAGCCTCAATTTCTTCTTTGCAAGGAATAATGTAATTTATTCCCTGGCATCTTGGAAAAGCGGGAGGAAGAGCGACAGCCCCAGAGCTTGGTGAGGGAAAGACAAAGGCTGCTTGTGAGCCCTTGTGGAAACACTATCATAACAAGTGGGTAGTGAGTAGGTAGCTAGTGAGAGACCACAGGCAGAAGGAAGAAAAGGGATTAGAGAAGGAATGCTATCAAGACGCAGCAGGGAAGAAAAGTTTCATTCAGGATCTCTATCCCTGGGAAACAAACACTCTGATGTTGAGATTCCCCTCAAAGCCTACAATTCCTATTTTTAACCTACACCCATAATCCCAACCTAAATAAACGTTTCTTCCTCCAAACAAAGGGCCTAGCAAAACACGTTCACTTGGGAGAAGTCAATAGAGCTAAATAAGCCTCAAATGGTCAAACCTCCACTGCGTATTCAGAAAATCATGCTTGAATCGTATGAAAGGGGCCATTGAAAATACAGCGACAGAAATATAGCTCCTGAGCCATAATATAAAGGCAGGATAATATTTATTTTTGGTTGAAAGGGATTGTTCCTGTGAATTAAGGGCAGTTTTCCAATGGAGCACAGTGACAGAGGCTGCCAACACTTCAGAGTATGAAAATGCAGCTCTTGGGAAAGTTGGCATGGTGCTTGTTATCCTTGGAAGAATAAATGTCAAATTTCTTACTGAGATCCTTCTAAAAGATTTATGCTCCAGAAAAGTGAGGTGCTCAGCCAATTCAATGGGCTCCAGATGGTCAAACAGCAGACAGGCTTTTCCCTTCTTGGATACTTTTTTCCTCTGTGTGACTCTTCTCATCCAATCATAGGAAGGTCTATAAACGAAGAGTGAGTCTGGTCAGTTTGCCGAAAGCCTGTTTCACTCAATGGAAGTTATTAACCTACTGACTTTGTAACTCTTGGCCTGCCTCCAGGGGCTTGTGCAAAATATACACCCTGTGCTGCATATTTGAAGGGAAAACCACTGACCCATCGCCAAGAGAACATAAACTTCAGGTTGTTTTTCCAGACAGGGTGGGTTTGCACTGATCCATCCAGAATCCCTTACTTGGTGTTTCTTGTGGCCAGTAAGATTTGGATCAGAAGGAAGAGGTCCGGGATAGGTATATAAACCTGAAAGTTTGTCAATATGTAGATAGTGATTTAAGGCACATGGGAACCACCGGAAACTGGTAGTTCTCATACTTCAGCAACATACGGATAATCTGAAAGGTCTGTCATAAAGACAGAGGCCCAGACCTCACTGCTAGAGATTCTGATTTACTGAACCTGAATTATCTGTATTTTTAACAACATCCCTAATGACTCCGGGATCACTCACTGTTAATCACTCTTAAAGTACTATTATAGAAAAATCAACTAGAAAAGGAATGCCTAGGACACAAGGGCATATATTTGCAAGATGGAAACCCATACTTAGGGTCATAAAATAGTTTTCTCTGTGCAAAGTTAACTAGATGATATAAAACACTAGCCTAATTAGCACGACGTTCCTAATAACTGAGCTAACTAGTTAGTGGCACAACTATGATCAACATTTGTACAGCCTCAGGATGACCTCAGATGCACTGTGGAACAGGGCTTCTCAAACTTGAATGAGCATATGAATCATCTGGGGATCTTATTAAAATGCAGTTTTCAATTCAGCAGGTGTAGGGTGGAGACTGAGAGTCCAGATTTCTGTTGAGCTCCCAGGTGATGCCAACACTGCCTATCCATAGACCGCACTATGAGTGGCAATGGTGTAGGAGACATTAGCTAGATTTTAATAAATACTGGGCATCTATTATGTGCCAAAGGCTTCACATACTATTTTACGTACTTACTGGATGCTCACGATAACCCTGCGAGAAAGCTGCTATCCCCAGTTCACAAATAAAGGAATTGAAGCTCGGAGAGATGGACTTAGGTGCAATGGTGCTCACTGCAGCAAGACTTTCTCAAGAAGCCCACCTTGATTCTGAAATGGTATGGAGGGAGGTCTAGTGGGGTCATCACTATCCCCTCCCCCAAACAGCAGACTCATCATGTTTGAAAGAAGCTTGAGCCACTCTTACATGCTGGAAATGTCAATGAGGCTGATGTGTTTTTCATATCCTAGTTGGCTAGCTACTTCTCGGAATTCTTCAGTCATACGGATCAACCCAAGGTCCAAATTAAACTCCGCAGGAAATTTCAGAATCCAGTACCTGAAAGGCATCAAATATTTTTGACAACCAAATTTTAAGATGGACCTCTATGGAGGTTACAGTATCATTTTACAGATAAATTGAACAAAAAAATCCAGGGCCATGCTCCCAGTTAGCAATCTCCTATCTCCCACCCACCACATTGAGTTTCACTCTTTCCCTTCAATCAAGGACCCACGTCCACTTCCACACTGAGCCTCTCATTCCCACTCTCTCCAGAAGGAAACACTACTTTCAACTCAGGGCAAGTGGGTGGAAATGTGTACGGTGAGAGGGTGGAACAAAAGAATTTACCCTAACAGCTGGTTTCACCCCCTAATCCCATTTACCATTGCCTGAGGTCTAGTCCCAAAGAAAGAGAAATTCTACTCCCAAGAACAGAGGAGGGCCAACTTGAGCAAAATCAATAAAATGGAATCTGAAACAGTTCTATTGTCAAACCAGGTCTGTTGCTTGGGGAAAAGAGAGTGTCAACCATTCCAGAAACAGAAACTACCAGAAAATTAAATTAAGTATATTTACCTCATGAAGTAGCAGATCTTTAACCGAAATTCATCACAGCTTTCTCCACTGGCATTTCGATACGTACGCTAGTTAAAGAAAATCTCCTTGCACATTGTTTCCTGCAGACACCTGAAGCTGTTTGACCAGTATAGATGAATTCCTAATAAGAGGGCCATACTGGGGACTTTGGGATATGTGGATGTTCAAATGGGGAGAGAAGTGGGTTCTGATGATTTCAGCACTAAAAAATTTACTGCTCTGGGATATCCTGTTTTGATCTGGAAGAGAAGCTACTTAAAAAATTTGTTTGACCTTCCTGAGCACTTAGCAGGTGTTGACTGTCAACTGCAATTACAAATATACTACCAGCTAAAGATCATTTAAAATGAGCAGTACACAGAAGCACCATTTCAGCCCCCAAAAGTTTTGTGTTTAGGGTTAATGCCTTATGTATGTACTTTAATTCTTTACTATTTGAAAATGTCATTTGCCGGTATATTAATACACAGGGTGTGTTGCAATGTATTCTCATCTATTTATTCACACTCTTTTCAACAAATATTTACTGAGCTCCTGCTATAGGCCAGGCACTCTGGGTATGTGGTAGCGAATGATCTGAAGGGAGGGAAATCTAAAGAAATGTCAATTCACGGGCAGTTTCAACTGGTATACAGTCTGTACTTTCAGATATTCGACTTTACTGTGTCGAAATATCCACTTTAATTCGTGTTTCATATTGTCGGCAGACATACTAATGATGAGAACGCATTTGGGGCACACTCTTTAGACAGAGTTTGGATCTTGAGAAGGTCTGGGACCAGACTGAGTCCATTCCATCCCTCCTTCCCTATGCGCTACCCTCAGTAGGAGGACCCCGGGGTCCCTGAACCACTGTGAACCAGGATCTGGCTCACTTTCAGGGACCTCTGTTTAGGGCGAATGTCTCCTTACCCTCTCTGCTCTCCCCGTCTGCCCGGTGGCTGTGGGAGGATGGAGGGAAGAAGTAGAAAGTGGAGGAAGCTTGAAGTGAGCAGGTGGAAGCCCCTCTTGGCCCCAGAGACACCCCATGGGCCTGCCCCCCTCAGGCTCCCCTACCCTGTACAGCTTCTCAGTCAACTGCGGGGTCCCCTGGGCTTGAAGCAGGCAGAGACTGCAGGAGCCAACATTAGCGATTATATAATAAACATTAGATATTGGGCAATGAAACCTTCTTACAAATGTGATACTATTTTCCATTTTCAGTCATTTGGCTTTCAACCACCTTTTAGGACTGCATTATGTACAACGTTGATGAACTGCTAAAAGCCCTTAGAGAACGGGGTTTCTAACTTTTCTTCTTTTATGTCAGAAGGAAATCTAAAATTAACATCCATCTACAAATTATAACAAACCTGCTAGAATGTTCTTTGTGTCTTGCCAGTAAAAGGAAGATATAAAAACTTAGGTGGTGTTTGTACCTGAGCCAGATCATATTATTTTGGCTGGCATTTCTAAATGTCTAAATCATATCCGCTAGGTCCACCATTTTGCCATTCTAAAAGGAATGAATTAGGCCCTGAATTAATGTTAAATAGTCTTTTATTGTACTAAGAACAGAAATGTTTAAGATAGGTTAGAGACACCCAGCCTATGGCTCCTGTTACATTTTAACCTAGCGGTTATTTTCAAGTAGAGCCAAAACATCCAGATGGATAGTCAACTATTTGGTCCATCATCCAGATGTTTTGTCTAGACATCTAAATATATTTACAAAACAGCTGGATAACTGACTGAAGATTATTCATTCATTTTAATTTACTGGATTTGTTTGGTTAGATACTCTATCTGCATAAATACAGAACTTGATTTATGATTGTAAAAATTACACAGTAGTTGAAAAGATATATGCAGAGAAGTTTTTCTGCCAATTCAGTGGAAGATAAATACCATCGGTGCATCAGTAGAACTATTCTTGGCAAATAACTATTATTCAGCTCTCCATTGTCATCTGTTAAAAAATAAAATAAAATAAAGTAAGGAGTGAGGAGGTAACAGTACTACTCTTTTTCTAATATCAGTAGGGAAACATTAGCGTCCAAAATTTCTCATAGACTCAATTATCATTTTCCTCCTGTTTCTGCTGGCATTTTCTTGAAAGGTAGGTGGGTAGGTTTCACCCTTCTTCTGGATTAAGGTTGCCAGAATTCAGCACATAAAAATATAGGACCCTTAGTTCAATTTGAATTAAGGTAAACAACAAATAATTTTCCAGTATAAGTATGTTCCATGCATTGCTTAGGACATACTCATACTAAAACTGTGATTTATCTGAAACTCAAATATAACTGAACATCCTGTGTTTTATGTGGCAACCCTACTCCAGTTTAACTTTTCCTATAAAATCAGTTCAACAAACAACTCCTGTGTAACTCTGCGTGTTCAAGGAATAATCCAAAATGCTGAGTTGGATACATAAATAACAAAAGCAGTTAGCTGTGAAGTCTATAATGTAGTGGGAGATATAACACATACATGCAAATATAGAATGCAGCAGATTGCACAACCCACACTTGTCTAAGCCAAAAACCAAGAAACGATCACAGCAGCACATACCATGTGCCATATGAAAGCTGCAAAGGACTGTGGGAGGGTGGAGGGAACACTCATGACCGGGGAGATTAGGAATGGCATTTATGGACATTGTCATCTGAGAGAAACCCTGACGCTGCAATTCAGGGAAGCTGAAGTTCAGGGTATGATAAAGGCATGCAGGTAGGAAGGTGCAGGGAATGTTCCAGAAACATTAAGTGGACAGTCTGGCTAGTGCATTAGTTGTGGGCAGTAAAGGGAAGGAAATGCAGAGAGCACTGCTACTGGGGAGACAGACTGGGGTCAATCAAAAAGGCCTTAAACACCAAGGTACGAAGATGGAATTCTGTTCTACAGCAACACTTGCCTCTGAATACAAGGAAGTGATAGTAGCAAGACAGATGAAGAGGAAAAAAGGATCATACCAAACATCTCAATGCAAGTGCTCAGCAGTTCATCTAATGTTGCTGCTTTCCCAAGTCCACTTGACCCCATGGTTATTTAGCCGTTGTCAAAGAACTAGAAACATTTTCAGCATCAGACAGACCATCTCCATAATCATGCAGGTTGGTGAGGTTTGTTCCTAGTGGTATCCTCCGTCCTGAGTTATACTTCAAAGCTCTAAAAAAAAAACAAAAACAAAAAACAAAAAAAAAAGAAGGGAAAGTTAATCAGACCAGAGTTCAGGCCCTATTAAAGCATCACGTTCCTATCCAAAAAAGATAATGGCTTTCATTGACTGTATCTTCCTACAAGATGACAGAGACTGCATCAACCACTGTGATGGCTTCTTGAGCTGTCCCTTACCATGTGTGGTGCGCTGAGACCACAGGGACATTCTCAATGAAACACTATCCCGTTTTGCAGTTGAAATTTTTTGGAAATATTTCTTCACGTTCATAAGTGATAAAATATCTAAGAATACTATAAGCATTACTTGGGTTAATATTATTAAAGTATATAGAGAAAGATAAATTTTAAAGTGCAAATATATTATGACCATTTCCCTCTGTGATCATGTAAATGTTCAAAAACTGGTAAAAAACAACAAAACTTATTTGCCTATGTTCTCCAATAGTAACACTATGATATTTTTCCTTTTTTAAATTAAAAAATTTCTATTACAGTTGACATACAATTTTATATTCGTTTCAGGTGAACAATATAGTGATTAGACATTTATATACCTTATGAGTGACCACCCTAAGTCTAGTACCCCTCTAGAACCACACATAGTTATTACAATTGTATTGACTATATTCTTTTTGGCCGTACTCTACATCCCCATGATTGTTTTCATAACTGGCAATTTTTACATCTTAATCTCTTTCCCTTTTTCACCCATTCACCCAAACTCCCTCCCATCTGGCAACCATCAAAAATGGTCTCTGTATCTATGAGTTTGGTTCTGTTTTATTTGTTCATTTATTTTGTTGTGGTTTTTTTTTAGATTCTATATATAAGTGAAATCACTTATATTTGTCTTTCTCTGTCTGACTTATTTCACTTAGCATAACACCCTCTAGGTCCAACCACGTTGTCACAAATAGCAACATTTCATTCTTTTTTATGGCTGAGTAATATTCCATCAACACTGTTATTATTAGTAGGAAAAATATTAACAATCTATTAAACACCCACATTATATACTAGGCATCATACCAAATTCTTTACATATATTATCCAACTTGAACTTCATGATATTACTGTGAAGTTGTAATTATAATTCTCAGTTTACAGATGAGGTCATGGGATTCACAGAAGTTCAGCAACTTGTCCAAAATCATGCAATTATTATTAAGGCCTAGAATCAGGACTCTATATATTATAAAGCCAACTGTTTCCCCTTTTGTTATTTGCCCCAGTATACTTATCATAAGATCTCATAATTTTGGCCTCTGACCTGATATGGAAATATCACTCTTCCACACCATCTCTGAAAAAGGATATAAATCAGATTAACTGCCACAGAAATAGAAGAAAAATGTGGCGTCTGTCTCATTGTACAGCACTGTCATGGGGAAAATGAGATCGGAAAAAACTCTCAGAGCTGCTTATGCTAAACGTATCTTTCTGGGGGACGCACTCTCATTTTATTTCACAGAGTGAGTTCTTGATGCCAAGTCCATATAGGGCTTGGAAAAGACCAGAGGTCATCATGATGTAAGATGGTTTTACCCACTTTGGACAGTTTAGTATGTCAGCGTGGCTGGGGAGTCATCTTATGAACTTTTGGAAGTTAATGTCTACTTTCCTCTTGAAATTTATTTATTCAACCGGTAATAATCATTGAATACTTGACATGTACAAGGCCCTGGACTAAGCACTGGGGCTGATAAAATGAACAAATCATTGTCTCATTTCTGCCTTTTGGTGGGCTCATAGTCAATATCAGTAAGCAAACACGTGAATGAACAGAAAAAAAAACCTGATGTCCAAGTGTACGGTCGCATGAACTCCATGAGGCCACTGAAGAGCAGCATTTAAGTGAGTCTGCTCACCAGGCCTATAACTCCAGAGGAAACTTGTTTGCTGTGTATCATTTCTGTGTGAGAACCATATTCTGGTGCTGAGGGTCCCTCTCTTAGAGCATAAGAAGAAGGGTTATTTCACATGTGTAATAACAGTAACAGAAACACTAAATCAATATGCTCCTGCTTCTGCTGCTCAAATGATTTGCGAAAGGGGAATATGAAAGTTGTCTGGAACCCACTCTTACACTTCTTAACCAAGTTGCCTTACCAGTAAGGCCTTTCCTGGCCACCCTGTTTAAAACAACACCTCTTTCTCCACACCCACCTCCAAGTTGGTATGCCCTACCTCACTTCCTGGGTTTTTCTTCTTAACACGTATCTGCATTTGAAATATTACATATTTTACCTATTTGTTTGGTTTTTTAAAAATGTCTCTAATACTATAAATATAAGCTCCCTGAACTCAGGGATTTTTGTGTTTTTCCCCTGGTATATTCCTCAACTCCTAAGATTTTGCCTCTAACATGGAATATACTCAAAATAGCATTTGCTAAATTAATGAATGAGTGGATGAATAGATAAATTAATTTAAAAAGTGGAAAAAGTTTGTGGATGTGTATATATTTGTTTGAATGTGTACTACAAATTTTGAGAGGTTATTTTTTAGTTTGTTTTACTCATTTAAATGTGCTTTTAATAAACATCACCAGGATAGAAGTTCCTTCCAGCTCTGTGGACCTAATAGGATCTGCCTGCACTTATAATAAGAACTTAATGTCTCTTCCGGAGCATTCTGGGGCAGCGCTGCTCTGATTTCTCTAGTGTAAATCCTGCCAATCCCATTAAAAGTCCAGATTGGGCAACTGACAAATTTGACTACCTCTGTGTATATACGGGCATTTTTTATCTTGGTAACTCTTGTTGCTGAGTAGTACTTGTATTTCTTAGAACCAAATAGCATAGATTAACTAGACTAGTTTCTCAGGTCGAATCCAAATTACTCAGCCCAGCTATATATGGAGAAGGTGTTGACCTTTCCATAAGGGATTAGAAATAGCCCGGCACCAAACCCCGCCCCTGTATTTGGAGTTATACTAGCGATCTGCAAAGAAGCCAGCACAGGAGCCCTGGGGGGCTGGGCTAGCCCATCACTCTGTTTCTATGATCAGGGGCTGCATCTGTGCCCCTGCTTAGCATCCTGACGCCTGCACATTTACCTGATATCCTATTTCACGCACGTGGACACTAGTCTCTATAACCGCTTTTTCAAAAGTAAAGCTTCTTTACTGTAAAAACAATATACACTCATCATTTAAAATAGACAGTAAGAAAGAAAAGGGAAAAAAAGTTACCCATTATCTCACCATCCAAAGATAACTCTTGTTTATACCATGACATGTTTCTGTGAGTTTTTCTAGGTATGTCTGTGTTGTAGAGTTTCTTATATAATCTATAATTGTTTAAAGAAACACCTACCTATTGGTTCCACACAGATTTCCAGGTCAGTAACAATTTTAAGGGCCGTTGTCACCATTGGAAGTCGCATTGGGAACGTAGTCTGCAGTACTGGCTTATCCAACTTACGTAGTAAATACTTTGGAGAACCTGATAAAAGAACAGAAAAAAAAAATACCCAGACCGAGTTAAATAATAGAAACCCAAAAGAATCCACCTTGTGTTAAAGCACTTCCACAAACCTTGAATTATAAGTGGTTTTTGAGATTTTTGTCTGAACCTTACCAGAAAATTAATTAAATGAGGAAACATTCAAAATAGTTACTTCGTGACTTGATATTTTAAAAGTCAAGCAATTTTTTAAAAAATTCAGTCTATTAAAAGCCTACACGTTGCAAAGCCCAAATGTATATGCTTAGTATAAAATATTATTTTAGTCCAAATAGACTTATATCAGTGGGTTGCTGATTAAGAATTTCCAAACACTGACCTTGGGCTGTTAGTAAATCTCTAAAATGGTTTGTTGTGGGGATCCTCAAACCTCTGACTCTAAATCACTCCTGACTGTCTCAACGTGAATGTCAATGTTATTTTAGTCCAGGTTGTTTAGTCTCCCAATGGTGCAGGACTTGCTTTAGTGTTGATAGGAGCTCTCTGGCGGCAATGAAAATTATTGCTCCTCAGCATAGACTTTTTCTCACAAGTCTGCAAAGGATACAATAAGCCAAAATTTCCCCAGGGTTTAAATCATTTCTAATAAAGACATTCTCACTTCAAAAGGGCAATAGAGTTCTGTTGGTTGTGATTTCCAAAGGCTGTGATGTTTCATGCAGCAAAGAGACTTTTATTGACATGACTGGTTAAGCCTCTATCTTCCAAACAAAAAAAAAAAAATCCTTTTAAGGGTGTCTAGGACAATAAGAACTGTGCTCCCAATTTCAGAAATACTGAAAAGGTGCCAACTCCATGCAACTATCTATTAACAGATATAAATTAGCAACCCAGGCTCTTGACTCAGAATGTTTAGAGCTCTAAAAAATTGGATTTCAGCATTAAGATTGCCAAATGGGGAAAGTCTTACTTACGTCTGTGTAAAATGTTATTAATGCAGCTTACTGTACTAGATTGTTTAAGGAGTTAGTGAGGTAGCACATAAAATGCACCTGCCAGGTCGCCTGCACAACACTGTGTGCTCAGGTAAGGTGTCTCCCTTTGCCTACACCATCTCTTCCTTTCCAATATTTAAAGGCTTTGAAGTCTAGGACTTATGTTGTGGTAGAGGATTAATGTGTTGAAGTGGCAGGAAGAGAGATGTTAGTTTAGAGAAGGGAAAAGGAGATAGAAGAAAAAAACAGAGCATGCAGTAGTGGGGCAGGTGGCTTCATCGGCAATGGAATGCCGTTCCTGAAAGTTCTCCAGCCAAAGTAAGGTAGTGACTGTCAGGGATGCTGCAGACTAAATTCCCAGACAGTGTCTAGGAAGCATGCCAAGATGACAGCAAAGGTTCCTCCTGGCTCTGGTGTTGCAGAATTTATAAGGTGGAATGTTATATCTAATAAGTATTTAACAAATGGTCTTGAAATGATATTGGTCACAGAGGGACTACCCAAGATTGTCTTGTCTGTAGCATTATCACTGTTCCAAGAAAACAAACAAGCTAAAACCCTTGAAGACTTCCCCTATTGGCAGATATTGCCTTTATACGTAAATGACCACCTATGTGTCTTGACATTCATATGACCTACAAATGGAGACAAGGGGATTTCTCTAAATGCCTAAATCCTTAGGGATTAATAACTAAGGTGTCATAGCATTTGTTGTTCTGACAGCATTCAAGCTTAATTCCTCTTTCTAATCACAGACATGCAATTTAAAAAGTTTTCTAATTATATTTCTGAGACTCCATAGAAGAATCAAGATTATTGAGTTCAGAGAAATAATAACAAAACACTGAAAGGTAATTAATTTGACAATACTTACTGTGATTCTATTAAGCACCTGTTACTAAGCAAGGTACTAAAGCAGCTAGCAGAAGAGGTTGGGGGTGAGCAGGAAGAAGGCTAAGTTGGTGAGCAAGGCAGACACAATTCTTGCCCCTATACCTCAGCAAAGAATTAAGCAAGTAATTACAATAACAATCCTATGAAGAGGCAGGGCACTAATTTAGTCTAGAAGCCAAAGAAGTTTAAGCTAGGCAAAGAGTGGGTGGGAAGATGGCAATTAAGAAAAGTTTAAAGACATTTAGAATGATGGAAGTATTGAATGTGGCAAGAAATGAGACTAAAAAGTCAGTATGAGTAGCTCACGAACAGCACTGTAAGCTATGTTAAGGAATCTGGAGTTTATCTGAAGCACAATGGGAAACCATTGTTTTAAATGTAAGAAGAGTGGCATGATCATATTTGAATTTTTTAAAAGATCCCTCTAGCTGCAGTGTGGAAAGAGGGTAGTAAAGATCTGCACTAATGATGGGGAAACCAGTTAGTAGTCAATTAAAGCCATTTGGGCAAGACAGGATGGTTATCTCAGCCAGCGTGTGCCAATGGAAATGGGGAGGAATGGCTGGTTATTGAATACATTTTGAAGTTAGAGCCAACCAGATTTTCCGATGTGTTTGCTATGGGGGTTTATCAGAAAGGATGAATCAGGGATAACTTCCAGATTTCTAGCTAGACATCTGGTTGATTACAGAGCGATTCCTCTGAGATTGCAAAATTGGAAGTTCAAGTGAGGCAAGGGATGAGTTCACTCTTGGACTTGCTGAATTAGAGATGTCTAAGACATACAAGGGGAAATGCTGAGTTTGCTTCCAGATACCTGTTACAGACTTCTGAGTTGACACTGAGTATGTGTAAGTGCTAAGAATTAGTGGAAAGGGAAATTTAAGGGACAGGAAAAAGAGAATTTAATCCTGTTACAAGGTCCATAGGAGGACAGGAGCGATGGGCCTAAGCACAGATGGCGGGATTTACTTAAGGTAAAGTAGAGGGTCACCCCTTTTGATGCAATAATAGGGAAGAGAAAAAATTGGTACAGATATGCGATTTGTCATTTTGATAGCAGGAAGTCAAGGAAGTTTCTGTCTAAGCAACTTTCATTTACTCTAAAAAGAAGACAAGGTCACCTGCTGGAAGAGCTGATGGGGACAGTTCTGAGGTGTATCAAGAGGAGAAAATATGCAAAAGATGTTGTGAAGAACAGAAAAAGGAAACCAGAAGTACTGGGATTATTCCCATCTAGGGCAGAAGGCTAATGTTTCTGTTCCAGAGTTTGTTCTGAGGAGTTCAGTGTTCCACGTTCCTTGGGTAACATCACTCCCGCATGTCAAGTGTCTGAAATCACTTAAGGTGACTTTTCTGAAATAACTTATTTGGCAAGTTTCTCCTGTATGGAGCAGGCAACCCTGAGTTTCTGCTCTTTTGGTCTAGTTCCCATAAGTATAAACACCTGGTTTCCAGAAGGATGGAGTTCAGAGCTAAAGCCTGGCTCACATTTGCTAGGTTGTTTCCTCAGAAGGGCCTGGGTCCCTGCTCCGACTTCCCCCACCTTTACTTGAAAGGGTGAAGAGGACGACAGACACTACTGAAAGTGAAAATACAAAGAAGTCATTTTCTTCCCACCCTTTGCTGTGATCCAGGATACTTCATTCTGGCAACGACAACCTCAGCCACCAGGCCATGTGCTCCGCCTTCCCAGGCAGGCAGTCTGCAGCTCTGCCCACCCCTCACCCTCTCCCATGCCCTCATCTGCAGTCTTGAAAAAGATCATAAAATCACAAGGTACATTACTGCTTTTTCTCAGTTCATTCTCCACATTTGGTATTCTTATATTGTTTCTGCAATGGTCTTATTTCAGTCTTGATTTCCCTTCTCATTTCTTTCAATGGCACCTCTCAGTTCTTTGGATTTGTCTTTCTGTTTTATTCCCTGAGGTGCCTTTCTCAGCACACTCTGTCACCGTCTCATTGTCATCGCTATTGAAGGTGTTTCAGTCACAAACCAACTGGAATAGCATGAACTTAGGAAATGAGTCTGATGGTCACAGCAAAGCGAAAATGCTATAAATAGGTCATAATGATCACCAAGTGGATAAGCTATTATTTATGGATAGTGGAGCAATATCCCGAAAGGTTAGTTAACAATTACAATATGGGATAGTCATGAATAATATCATATTTCTCAACTCTAAATGTAATTTTTTTTCATTCTTGCCTTGGATGGGTTTGTTAAATGTGGTTTTCCCAGGTTTTTTTTTTTTTTTTTCCTGCCAAGAGCTTTTACCAAATAAATGGGGCATTGATAATCAATGTTGTCCTGAATTTTAGAAAGTGAAGAAATAATAGTCTCTAAAAATGCTTGCGGGTAGCATGTAATATGATAGACATAATGCTGGAAAAATTAGCTCCCTTTTGTTTAAATCTTATAACACCCAGAAAGCTTAGCATTATTCTATTTCATGGGTAAGCAAATTAAGGCCCACAGAAGTTAAATTACTTGTTCATATCATGTTCCTTGTTTTCAAACCTGGTCTATCTGACGCCAAAAATTTAAACTTTTTCAACTATCCCCACAAATTTTAGCTGTTATTAAGGCTTGCCTATTAGATCAATTTCTAGGCATTGTCTGCAACAAATGTTTACTATTCCCTGTGTTTGACATTTAAGCAGCCTATCACTGGCCCTATTGTCTAAAAATGAATAACCATCATTATTATAGCAAGCTTGGCAATACAAGGACTCACTGGTACCAAATACTGAACAGAAGTCAGTAACCAGCTCAGAGCTCTTCTCACAAGACCCCCTTGCATTTTTTGGTTAACAATTGAGTAACAAAGTTAGGCTACATTTTATTTACTTTTTTCTTTTTTTAAAAAAAGATTTTATTTATTTTTAGAGAGAGGGGAAGGGAGGGAGAAAGACAAGGAGAGAAACATTGATCAGTTGCCTCTCACGCGCACCCAACCCGTGACTTAGCCTGCAGCCCAGGCATGTCCCCTGACCAGGAATCGAACTGGCAACTTTTCAGTTTGCAGGATGATGCCCAACTGAGCCACACCAGTCAGGGCAAAAGAAAAGTCTTGAAGAGCTCTAGTAATAAATATGGAATTCCAAAGTCCTACCAAAGAAATATTTTCCTAGCATCTGGCTGTAG